TATTGGTGGGGTAGTCCCCAATCTGATTGAATGTCTCCCAGTAGCGACTATTGTAGGATCTTAGGGTTTCTTTATCGCCCATGTCGATGGAGAGTAGCTGGTCGATCTCCACCGAGGTTTTAGTGTTTGTTCGGAACCTTGTTACGAACGCCTCTGCCAATTGCGCCCAAGAGGCTATGCTGCCCTCTAGAAGTTTCTCGAACCAAGTCAAGCCTAGGTCGCCAAGGCTAAATGGGAAGAGTGTGCACATTAAGGCCTCGTTTCGCCTGTATACAGCCATGACCTGGCGAAAGTGGCTCAAGTGTGAGTAGGGGTCCGTCTTCCCTTCATATGTAGTGAATTTGGGCTGAAGGAAGCCTGATGGTAGGGGCGCGTTTTCAATCGCCGGAACAATCGGCGAAGTCTGCAGCCTTGCTAATGCTTTGTCCGTTGGTTCGTAGGCAGGGCGCGGTATTGGCATTCCAACCTCGACGCTTCCATGCATCCGAGGAGCAAACCGCTGTAAGGCAGAAACTCTGTGTGGATCTCGTGCCCTGGCATCCTCCTTGCATCGTGCTTTTTCTTCGAGCACGGTTCGTAAGTCGGATGATCTGGGTAACTCCGTCTGTCTAGATCTGGTTTGGTGCGTATGTGAGGGCCAATACGTGCTTCCTTTAGTGTATGATCTTTCAGATCTCGTCCTCTCAGATCTGGAGTGACGAGTTCTGGAAGACCTGGATTGAGTATCGCCTGTCCTGAGGCTTCTACTCTCTCCTTGCGAGGGTGTGGTATTCCTACTACGATTTTCTGAGTGGCGAGGGGGCGTCTTGTTTTTGCGCCCCTCTCCTGTCATCACTTCTTTGTTCTTCATCTGGCGCTTTAAGGCCTCCATGTCTGCTGCCATCTTCCTTATCAATTCGTCTTGCTCTTTCACGCGGTCCTCCAAAACTTGAGGATTAATCCTCCGCCTTTGCCTGTCAGGACTTTGTGAACGAGAGTGACGGGGGCTGTGAGTCCGTCTTCCCCTAGTATCTCTCCTGGGGTTATGTCGTTGGGACTCCAAGTCCGCCATGGGAGGGATAGAAGGTAATCCTTCACGCCTGGCCCCCCCATCTGGTGTTTGCCCGTCGATGGCGGACTGTGGTAATTCTTCATTGTGCGCCATTGTTCCACAAGAGGCAAAGCTTGATCAAGAGGTTTTGTCCTGTCTGTTCTTCCCACAGACGGCGCCAATTGTACGGGAAAGAAATAAACCTTCTCGTATAATCCTGTTGACCAAGTCTACTCTCCTCCGTACGTCGCCGCTTTATCACCTGAAAACACAAACGTGAGCTAGCCGGCGGGTGTGTGCCGGAAACCTCTCCGATACCTAAGTCAACAAGCTTGACAAATAGACAAAGCTCTGTGTATTCAGAAAACAAAGTTGTGTGTTACCTCTCCAAAGGTGATGTTTGTGAGCTTTTATAGGTTTCGTGTGGCATAATCCTAGTAGGACTTCTACTCCTCCATGCAGAGTCCTCCTAGGATTCATACTCCTAAAAGATAATGTTTATCCTTCAACACCCCCCTCACTGCTTAAACCATGTGAGATGGTTTTTACCATGGCCGAACTCCAACATGACCGAAGTAATCATGGCTGTGCTGAGCCGCAGAATAGGCCGAACTATCCTTAGTTCGGTTATTCCTTTTACTCTTCCTTATCTCGGTTCTCTCATGTACAAACCATGGTATGTTTAGACCGAGCTACCAAGTAGCTAGGCTCTGACCGTTCTAACCACAATACGCCATGACCGGGCTAACTCTGAGACCGGCCTAACTCCAAGTCGCTTCCGGACCGGAGTAACTTTACATTTCTCTCGGGCCAGAGTAATGTTGTACTTCTCTTGGGCCGGAGTAACTTTACGGCCTTTTTACTCAGCCTGTCGTATTGTGAGCCATAATGACCATCTCCCAGTTCGACCCAATTTTTACAAAAATTACCCTCTCACATACGCATAGCTAGTGTCTCGTCCAAAAAATAACACATCTATGTGTTTTCCGTATGCCTCGCCTCAAGTTGCGTCTCAAGTCGCGCATCGCATCATATATGTCTTTGAAAACTTTGATATTTTTCATTACACGTATTTATCACCAAAATGTATAATTAAAATTTTTTTTTTAATATGTGTTGGACATGTGAACAAAATTCTTAACAATATGAGAGAATTACACATTAGTGAGGATAAAAAAAATATATTTATAAAAAAGTGATAAGTATTAATAATTTAATTAATTTTTTTTTATTTTTTTGTAAATATTTTTCCTGATTCTACTTATGTGTAATTCCCTCTAAAAACATAAGCTACTTTGAGTATTTTACTCTAAAATACTAAAATCAGGGGGAAATTATAAAAAAAAAAAATTTCACTACAAATGGAATTTTTTTTTTTTTTTGGTTACAACACTAACACATAAGAATAGTTGCACCAAGTACATGGAGGATTTACACCTTGCACACAATAAAATTACACCACCATGAAAATACAAAAAATTTGACTATCTTACTGATTTGATATTTTCCCTAAAATCAAGTACATTATTACCCACATTTAAAAGGGAAAATAATAGTTAAGTAGTAAATTCACAAAATAATTTTAGATACATTATAAAGTTTATAAAATTATTTTTTAATGTTACAAAATTTATCATTAATATATATATAATTATTTTTTAAATTACACTGAAATAAAATTCTCCCTATTTAAAATAAGAAGGAGGATCCCTTCAGTCCAGATTTTGGTTTAGAGGGCGCTGTTTGGGCTTGTGGGATTCACCGCAAGCCCGTTTTGATGATCTGAACTGTTTATTTTGTCAGGTATTTTGTGTATTTCGTTTATAAAAAAAATTAGATCGATTCGATAACTGTAACTTATTCAATTTATTACGTTTGTTACTAAAAGAAATATATAGTTTATTTTTAAAAATACAACAATTGTGTATTTTTTAGTAAAAAATTAAACAGTTACAATTATTGAATTAATCTAATTTTTTATGTAAATAATATCACCATTATGATAAGACGTGTAATGAATGACCCATTATTAAGTAGAAATCGTACATTTTTACAATAACAATGAATTGATTTTAAAGACAAACTTACATATAATTTTCATTTGAGAAGTGCACGATAAAATGTTTGTTTGGGATGACCTAAATAAGTGTATTTTTTGTCTTTTTATAAAAAGATGTGCAGAAAAGTAGAGAGATGATATGATGGAAAAAAAATAAAAAGACAAAAAATGTATACTTATTTAGGATAACCAAACTTAACATAAAAGTTTCATTTGAATTGAATTTTTTTCATTTGTCTAATTTTTATGAAAATAAAATAAAATAATTATAATTTAAATATTATATTATATTTTATTAATATTTTTACTTATTTTATTTTTTTTAACTACTTTAACTAAAAAGCCAAGCCAATATGCCAAATGAGTGCTGCGACGATGTCGTCTTCAACTCTTCATTCAACGTTCAATTCAAGGAAAAAAAACACACATCAAAACCGTTTGGTGTCCGAGAAAAGTCAAGAAAACAAAAGCAAAGTCTGCGAAGTTAAGTGATACATATATATATATATATATATATAATTACATAATATTGTGTCAGATAATATACAGAACCTCGTGCTTAAGCGACCTCCACACAACTGCTTTGCTGAGGTGAGGTTTTACTTTGGTTTTCATCTGTTTTCTCGGCAACCAAACAGGAAATTACATATGGTGCTCTGTGTTCTCGCCGTTTCTCTGTTTTCTACCTTTGGTTAACATGGAACTTTTGTGTCGATATTGAATTTATGAGAAAATTCTTTAATTTTTGTTCATTGTTGTTGTTTTGGTCTTAATTCCCATTATCGTGTGTATGTGCAATCTCTGTGTATTATTATTTTCCCTTTTCTGCTTCCTACAATTCTGTTCTTATTGGTGAATTTACAATCACACCAAGAAGACACACATGGTTTTAATTTATCAATCTCTCTCTGTGTATGATTTTAGAGCTTGTTTGATTGAGCAGATTATAGCATAGAATTGAAATAGTTAATCATGGTTCTCGTATTCATTGTTTGGTTGAATAGGCGGATGGATATTCTATCCAACAAAATTGATGAATTTTTTAATCCTACAACTAATAAAGCAAAACAAACATATATATTTGAGATAATATATTTTCATATCGATTGTAAAATAAATGTAGACAATAGTTAATTATTTATCTCACTAATCCAGCTGGATAACCAATCATACACAAATCTCATGTATTGTTAATCCCCTCACTATTCATCGTACTAATCAAACAAGGCCTTAGTTTTAGGAAATGAGGGTGAGGTTTATTTGTCAATGATCGAGGCATGTTAAAAGGTTTGATATTGGACTTGTTAATTATGATGTCTGTATGGGCTGATTCATATTACTAATTAGGGCATGCCATAAACTTGTCAACCCCAATAGTTAGATGAGTGGCAAGTTGAGTTGAGTCATGATAAGCGTCTCAGGAACAATAGGTTACAAGTTTGAATTGCATGACCTGTGTACATGTAAGGAAAAAGTACAAAGTGGCTGTTCTCAGGTTCGAATCCACATAATCAAGGTTGATGGGCAGAGTTTTAACAACTAAACTAGTGGTCCCTGTTAAGTTGTGTAATTTGTATATGTAATTATATACACATGAATATGTACACATACATATAATAAATGTATACCTAAAAGAAGGATGAAATTTGAAACCTCTACTGCCAATTTAACGATATTGTTATATACCTTTTTTGCTGCGCTTGTGCATTTGAGATAGTAAAGAAAGTTTCCAATTGTAAGGTGGTATTTTGCAGGGGGTTTGTATGATACTTCAAAGTTGCAAGTAAAGTCCATCCTAGTCCGCTGGTGAATTAGTTGTATTGGATACTGTGCAGACAGATTTCCTAAAGTCATGAATTTCAGGCAAGATAAATTTGTAAGGTTAGTTTGTTTGATTCTCCTGTACTATACGGTCATGTTCTATTGATGTTATTTCTGTCACTCTGTTTTTGTATATGTAACTTCTTTATGTGGTAATACAGGACATCTGGAATACAGAGGATAAATCACGACATTACTAGTCATAATTTATCATATATTTGTTGTGTTATTGATTGATTTGATTTGAGATGTAGCATCAAACCTAGTAAGATGATGAAGCTTGTATTAGACACTATGATGGGGTAGATATTATAAACTTTTGTACGAGTTTTATCCTCTCTTTTTTTTTTCTTTTTTTTTTTTTTAATATTTAATTTGTTGATCATATGATGAAATAAGTAGTTGGATAGGAAGATGGGTGTGAAGACATTCTGGAAGACCTCAGATTGGCTCATATAATTTTCTCTATACAACATGACCAGTTGTTGGATTGAGTGGTTTCCCCCACTACCAATAACCATCTTTCAGCACATACAAGACAAAAAGAAATGAATGAATAATCAAAAAAAATCATGAAAAAAGAAAGAGGACTGGAATCTACACATTGATTATTTTTTTGCAATTTTTTTGAATGGTATTCGTCAGTTCAAGTCTTGGTCGGGATATGGGTGGTGGGTTCAAGTCCTGAATGAAAATATTCTTAAGAGCAAACAAGCATAGTTAATCCTTCATCGTATAATAAGATCTTCGTAGTGCATCTATTTACATTCTGAACTTACATTAGACCACATACAAGGTGACCAATAGGCCAATATCGGATTTTCAGCTATGCTTCTGATCCCCAGAATAATGCATTATTGATGGCTAGTACTGTCCAATCAGGTCATATTTTAGAAGAAATTCAGCGTGGGCTTGTGGTTTCAATGTTTTTTTTTTTTTTTTTTTTCTTTTTTGGTAAATATTTTCTTGTTTTGTTACCATGTATTACATATTTCCATCGTAATTGAATTTGGACATGCATTCAGTTGTGATGACTCTTTTCTTCAGGTTTGAGGATTCAATTTCAGAGAGATCTTTAAGTTTTGAGCGTTCCACCGAGGATGGACTACGTACTAGAAGAAGCAGATCAATTGTAGGCTCAGTATTGGGGAGTATTCAGAGAGGATTTGAGAAAGTTTCGAAAAGGATTAGAAGCTTAAAAAAACCGTTAGGCAGAAATCAACTCAATGATCAGCCAACAAAACAATTGGGTCATAAGAAGACAATTCTTGATCCACAAGGGCCATTTCTTCAGAAGTGGAACAAATTTTTTGTGCTTGCTTGTGTGATTTCTTTGTCCTTGGATCCCTTATTCTTTTACATCCCTGTGATTGATAGCAAAAAGAAGTGCCTCGGTTTGGACCACAGTTTGGGGATCACTGCTTGTGTTCTTCGCTCGTTCACTGACGTCTTGTATATACTTCACATTCTCTTTCAATTCCGTACTGGGTTTATTGACCCTTTTTCTCGAGTATTTGGAAGGGGCGAGTTAACTAAAGATCCTTATGCTATCGCAAAAAGATACTTGTGCTCCTACTTCATTATTGACATTTTAGCAATTCTACCCCTCCCACAGGTATGTTCTTTTTTTTAGTGAATCTGGGCTATCACTAGGCCACAATCCTCTTGCATTAATAATATCAATCTAGTCCCTACTATTTCATAGAAATACAACCAAAGGGAATGTACAATTGCTTCTTTTTTTCTTTTTCACTTGTGTGATTGTGAAAACAATTTGATTTTGATGTTTACATTGAATAATGAAGCCATTTTGTTAAATATTTTCTAATTTACAGTGAAATCCAGTTCATTAACTTCATTTGATTAAAAAGCTTCTGTTTAATTGCATCTTCTGGTGTACTCTTTGATCTGTTCAGTTGGTGATTTTAGTTATTATCCCAACAAATGAAGGCCCAGTTGCACAGCTTACAAAGGAATTGTTGAAGGCGGTAATTTGGACCCAATATTTTCCTAGAGTTATTCGGATCTACCCTCTAGTTAAAGAAGTGACACGTACATCTGGCTTATTTACGGAAACGGCATGGGCTGGAGCTGCCTTTAATCTCTTTCTCTACATGCTAGCCAGTCATGTAAGTTCTATCTGATTTTTATCTTATTCTCAACACTCCTAAGAATCAGAATCTCATGAAAACGATTGTCATGATTGTCACTTTGCTATTTGTTTCTTTTGCTGTCTCTTATGTAATACTTTGAATTAAATTTACTTTTGGGGATTTTAGGTAAACTTGAGCACAGATGCAGGATGCATAGGGACATTGAAACACCTGTGATGCTCTGGGGATAGCCATTTGTAGAATTCAAATCATAAAAACATAAGATAAATTAATGAAGGAGTTCTTATAATTTGACTTTAAAAAACAAGGGTACATAAAATCAGGGTATTGTGGAAAGAATAACTTGTCTTTGTTTCAACTTGTAGTTTCACAATACAATCTTCCGTGTTCTTAGCAATGATCCATCCAAGTTGTTTTCATTTTTTTCATATCATGGAATTATCCTTTTGTTTGGTTGAAAATATATTTTTACAATGACCAAACCGCTGGACTTAACCATGGATACACCAAATTAAGGTAAGGAAGGAACACAAACACAACAACATTTGTGTTGTCAAGTGTATGGCTAGACTACTTCCAAGGAGGAGCAGAGAAGAACCTGCTCCTAAATTGAAGTCGTGAGGTGTCTCTAGCATCAAGAAATTGTGATTCTTCTTTGCTTTAGAAAACTGTTGAGTGGCTATCCTGGATTGTGCTTATGTTTACAACCAAAAAAAAACCTTTGCACTGATTTAAAAATCTAATGACCATAACTTGATATCTATTCACTAGAAAGATTCTCTGTTAAGTTTGGAGACATCATGTCTATTGTTCTGACAATAAAATGAATCTGATGTACCAGGTTGTTGGAGCCTTCTGGTACTTGTTCGCAATAGAAACGGAATATAGGTGCTGGCGTAAAGCATGCAAGGATCAAACTTGTATTGATGATCTCCTTTTATACTGTGAAGAAGCAAATAATGATAGATTTTCGCATCTGGATGGTTCTTGCCCTCTTCTTGAACCCAGTCAAATAAAGAACTCAACAGACTACGACTTTGGAATATTCCTCGATGCTCTTAAGTCTGGTATAGTTGAAACAAGAGATTTTCCAAAGAAATTCTTCTATTGTTTTTGGTGGGGGCTGCGAAATCTAAGGTTGGTGCATATATGATCATTTAGTGATTGAGCTATTCTAGTTTAGTGTTGCTTCATTCAGTTAAATTCTTGCAGATAAATATTTTTTTGGAATTCTTCTTTTTCCTTTGACAAGTGACAGGGTTGTTTGACTTCTTCCAGAGTTCTCAATATTCTCAATATTAAAATTGTATTCCTCAGTTTCTATCTTTAAAGGCAAATTAAACTTGACCCCCCTCAACTAAGGGCCATTATCACTACACCCCCTCAACTAAAAAGTGCTACATTTGACCCTTTGATCTTTTGATTTGTTTCATTTCGATATCAACCTTCTGTATTTAGTTTTAAAATATATGCGCTGGCTTATATGAAAAACTGCAACCTTATTTTGGAGCGAAAGTAATTTTTCAGTTTTACTCTTTCTGCAGTTCTTTTGGCCAAAATCTCAAAACCAGCGTTTTTGTTCGGGAGATTATCTTTGCTATCTTCATTTCCATCATTGGATTGGTTCTATTTTCGTTTCTCATTGGCAACATGCAGGTAAATATTCAATTCATTGTAGCAAATTATCGTACTCATCCATATTATATTTGGTGCTGAAGTGCTAAACGATTGTTTCGCCGGCTGTTCAGAAATATCTGCAGTCTATAACCGTCCGAGTAGAAGAGATGAGGGTAAAAAGGCGGGATGCAGAGCAGTGGATGGCCCACCGTATGCTCCCTGAGAACCTGAGGGAGCGTATTAGGCGCCACGAACAATACAAATGGCAAGAAACCAGAGGTGTTGAGGAAAAGTCTTTGATTTCTAAACTTCCTAAAGACATCAGAAGGGACATAAAGCGCCATCTTTGCTGGTCTTTGCTCAGAAGGGTTAGTGCATTTCTGTGTCTCCTCTACATTTAATTAGTATTCTTCATGGTGTGAGCACATGAGTGCATTGTCAGGGACAATATATGATTTCTCACAAGTAAATCAATTAATGTATATAAAAATTAATACAAAAAATTTAAATCAATGATACAAAAATTTTTTCGTGATTCCCTCAATATGAGGTACATCTCGAAATCCGATTCTACTATCAATCAATAGTTTTCAAATGATTACAAATGAGACACAAATGGTCTTACAAAATCATCGTTAGGTAAATTCTAAATAATCACAAATAATCAAGAGGAAAGACCTCACTAAATAGATAACAAAAGTTTTCAAAACAGAATTGTAGAAGACCCAAATCAGATTTCGCTGAAGAAATACTCAGCAACTAAACGGAGCCCTTGAATATGCACACAAGAATCACACAACAAGCTTGATATATATATTCACCGAACTGGATTACCCAGGAAGCACTCTCTCATTGAATTAAATATGAATCAATATTAGCAGCCAAAAACCCACCGAAAACTATGTACCTAGCTGTCGCTGTGCCTCCTACTAATTAAACAATATTTTTTGGGCTTTTTATCAAAACCTTAACTGCTACCAAATAGATTATTAAATATATATTGGGCTTCCAAAATTTAGATATAATATATAAAAAATATATTATAACTAACACCAAACTAAATTAAATTCTTTTAATAAACCAATTGAGTCTTATACTCCAATAAGGAGGTATACTCAACAATTCCCTCCCTACCAACTTAGGTGGAGACATCAACCATACCCGCCAAAGTTCGACAAAGTTCGACACTTTAAATGTTTGTCCCTCGACAAAGTCTTAGTCAACATATCCGAAATATTATCATCTGTGTGAACCTTTTCGAGTTGCAATAATTTCGAATCTAACACATCACAAACCAATGGTATCTCACATCAATGTTTCGATCTCGAATGAAAAGTAGAATTTTTACTCAAAATAGTATTTTGACTATCACAATAAAGTACATACCTTTTTTGATTCACACCCAACTCTTGCAAAAATTTCTTCAACCATAACTCTTCCTTGCAAACTTCCGTAATGACAATAAATTCAGCTTCGGTAGTTGAGAGAGCAACAAATTTTTGTAATTTAAATTGCCATGTCACAACTCCCCCTACAAAAGTCATTAAATACCCCGAAATAGATTTCCTGAATCAACATCACTGGCCATGTCGAAATCTATGAACCCATCAAGCATCTGCTTACCATTCCTAAAATACAAACACAACTTTGAAGTCCCTCAAAGATACCTTAGAATCCATTTTAACGCTGCCCAACGTTCTTTACCTGAATTAGAGAGAAAACGACTCACCACACCAACGGTATGAACAATATACGGCCTTATACAAACCATGGCATACATCAAAGAACCAATCGCTGAAGCATAAGAAATTTTCAACATCTCTTTCCTGTCTTTCTCACTTATAGGATATTGATTCGAACTAAGTTTGAAGTGACACACAAGTGGACAACCAACCGACCTGAAAATTTCATCAAAGTCAATACCTTTCTCTTCCCCAAAACCTTTCACAACAAGGCGTGCCTTGTACCTTAAATTCTTGCCATCATTCTTCAATTTGAAAACCCACTTATTTTTTAGCATTTTTCCCCCCTTAGGTAACTTCACCAAATCATAAGTGTGGTTTTCAAGTAAGGAATTTATTTCCTCTTCCATGGCCCTTTTCCAATCACATTTCTTTACATGCTCAATTGCTTCTTGGTAGCCCTCGGGCTCCCCTTGATCAGATATCAACACAAACTCATTGGGATGATACTTTTTAGTAGGTTGTCAGTCTCTTGTAGATTTTCTCAACTCAAGTTGTGGTGGCGGTTCTTGAGTTGGATGTTCTTCCTTAATTTCGGGCTCAACTTCATTAGGATTAGCATCATCATCTACATCTTCAAAAGGTGGCCACACATCTCCCCCATTTTCATCATCAATTGAAGATGAAGGAGATGGATCCACGTCAATGAGATCACTAGTTTTTTGTTCCAATTGATCACATTTACCAAAGTCTTCAATTGTTTGGTCTTCAAGAAACACAACTTCATGGCTTCAGATAACTTTCTTATCGATCGGATCCCACAATCTATAACCAAATTCATCACGCTCATAGCCAAGAAAAATGCATTGTCTTGACTTGCTATCAAGCTTGGACCTCTCATCCTTTAAAATGTAAACAAAGGTTAGGCAACCAAACACTCTCAAATGCTCGTAAGACACATCTTTATCAGTCCAAACTCTTTCGAGAATATCACCATTCAAAGGATTGGAAGTAAACAAATGGATCACGTCAAACGCTGTCCTCATTGCCTCACCCCAAAAGGATCTTAGCAATTTAGCATGTGAAAGCAGACACCTTGTTCTTTCCACAATAATGCGGTTCATCCTCTCGGCAACTCCATTTTGTTGAGGAGTTTTCCTAACTGTCTTTTGATGCCGAATACCTTGGTTATAACAATACTCATCAAATGACCCAATGTATTCACTACCATTGTCTGTTCGGATGCACTTCAATGTCTGCCCTGTTTCTCTTTCAACCATGGCCTGAAAATACTTAAACACATCTAGAACTTGATCTCTAGTTTTTACTGCAAAAGCCCAAACTTTCCTTGAACAATCATCAATGAAAGTAACAAAATAAAGTGCACCACTATGTGTTTTAACTTTTAAAGGGCCATAAACATCCGAATGAATCACCTCCAAAACATTTTGTTTTCTAGAAGCAATATTTTTATGAAAAGAAGCTCTATGTTGTTTACCCGCCAAACAATGAACACAAGTTTTAAGATGTGTATCTTTCAAACCAGGTAGAAGCTCTTTCTTAAACAAAACTTGCAGCCCCTTTTCACTCATGTGCCCAAACCGCTTATGTCAAAATTCGGTAGAAGTATCATTCTCAAGTGCATTGATAACACCTTTACAAATTTTTTCTTGCATCGAATAAAGTGTGTTGAGTCTTCTTGCACTTAGCCACAACCAAAGAACCCTTTGTGAGCTTCCATTTTCCATCACCAAATTTGTTGTTGTAGCCTTCATCATCTAGCTTCCCGGTAAAGATCAAATTGAGGCGAATGTCTGGAACATGCCTCACATCTTTAAGTAACAACTTGCAGCCCAAATTTGTTTCCAAGCAAACATCACCCATGCCAACAATCTTGGACAAACTTTCATTATCCATTCAAACACACCCATAATCTCTTTTGGTGTAGGTAGTGAAGAAATCAACTTGAGAAGTCACATGAAAAGAAATACTGGAATCAATCACCCAATTGCTCTCTTGGCCCACAAAATTGACACAATCATCTTCACAAACGACCATGAAATCACCATCGATAGTAACCGCCGTTGTGTCTTCTTGCTTCTTATCTACACTTTTGTCACGCCTTTTCTCCTTATTCTTGAGCTTTTGGCATTCTCGCTTCATGTGCCTTTTCTTATGGCAATAATGGCACTCAATGTCTTTTTTTGAAAAAGAACCATTTCTTGATTTGTCACGGTTTTGATCACGATCATGAGGAGTCTTACTCCTCCCCTTTGTTTTGCTTCAGCCTCTCACAACAAATGCTTCCGAATGAAAGAAACTCGTTGATTTTCTTCTAATTTCTTTATTCAATAAGCTACTAGTAACTTGGCTGATTATGACAATTTCATCGAGTGTCGAATTATTAATTGTCACAACCAAAATCTCCCAACTTTTGGACTAAGAATTAAGTAGTATCAAAACCTGCAACTCATCATCAAAAATAATTTTCATAGAAGCAAGTTGGTTAATAATACTCTTTATTTCATTCAAATGTTCCGGAATAGGGTTGCCACCTTTGTATTTTAGATTAACCAACTTTCAAAACAGAAAGGCTTTATTTGTGGCTGATTTTCTGTCATAAAGGCTTTCTAATTTTTTTCATAACTCATGTGCTGAAATTTCAATAGCAACATGATGAAACACACTGTCATCCCCATTGATGAATAACACCAGCGACTTTTTGATTAAGTCTCTTCTTTCATACCCTCGAGTTTGCCACTATCACTCTCAATGGGTCCATACAAATCTTTATAAAATAATAGGTCCTCCATTTTAGTTTTTCAAATTACCCAATTGCTTCCATTGAAGCTAGACATACGACCCACATTCCCCTCCATTGATTTACACAAATAAATAAATTCAAATAACTATAAGCTCTAATGCCAGTTGTTAGGGAAAATAGATGATTTCTCACAAGTAAATCAATCAATAAAAATAAAAACTAATGCAGAAAAATTAAATCAACAACACAAGAATTTTTACCTGGTTCTCTGAATGTGAGGTACGTCCATGAGATCAAAATCCGATTCTACTATCAACTAATAGTTTTCAAACGATTACAAACGAGACATGCATGGTCTCACAAAACTATCCTTAGGTGAATTCCAAATAATCACAAATAATCAAGGGAAAAAACCTTACCAAATAGATAAATAAAAATCTTCGAAACAGAGCTATAGAAAACAGGAATTAGACTTTATGGCTGCTGAAACACTCAGCAAACAAATGGAGCCCTTGAATATGCACACAAGAATCACACAGCAAGCTTGATATATATATATATATATATATATATATATTCACCAAATTGGATTACCCAGCAAGCACTCTGTCACTGAAGTAAATATGAATCAATATTAGCAGCCAAAAACTCACTGAAAACTATGCATCCAGCAGCCGCTGTGCCTCATATTAATTAAACAATATTTCTTGGGCTTTTTATCAGAGCCCTAACTGTTACCAAACAGATTATTAAATATCCATTGGGCCTCCAAAAGTTAGATATAACATATAAAAAATATATTATAACTAACACCAAGTTAAATTAAATTCTTTTAATGAACCAATTGGGTCTCATATTCCAATAATGAGGTATACCCAATATGCATCATCATCTGCTGAGAAGCACGGATGCTTCTAAGAAAATGACATGTTGTGTTGGACATCGTGTCGAACAGAGCACAACATAACACTCATTGGACACTTCTCAACACCTGTCAGCGACATGTCCAAACGCATCCTACTATTTTTTAAAAATTCTAGACTCCGACCCTATGTTACCTAGAACGTGGATTGTTCCAGTGCGTGGAACAGGAATGAGAACGGGAACGTGGAACGCCACTTCAAATATTTTGAAAACATAAATATTTATCACTTAGACACACATGAAACATATTTACAAATTTGATCAAAATAACTTGGAATTGAATGATAAAAGAAAAATAATGTATATTTACACTTATTATTCTCCTTTAAACTTTAGAAATTAGTGTCACATTGTGTTTTATTACATCATTGAATTAAATATTCATATACATAATATAATACTTTCTTATCCTTATAAGTTTATATGACATATAGTGATATATAAAATTATATATTTTACATGTACACCTCATGTGTCGTATCCTATTTTTTTTGAAAATTTGTGTGTCATGTCACGTGTCTGTCTGTGCTTCTTAGACAATGTGCATTAGGAAGTAGTTTTCAGATTCTATCAATACATATTTTTCTTGTCGTAGCAGTACTTGAGAGGTTTTATAAAAAAAATTTCCCCTTCAGGTGCCATTGTTTGAAAAAATGGATGACCAATTGTTGGATGCAATGTGTGATCATCTCAAGCCAGCTCTTTACACACAGGATAGCTTCATAGTTCGTGAAGGTGATCCGGTTGATGAGATGTTTTTCGTCATGAGAGGCAATCTTTTGACAGAGACCACCAATTGGGGAAGAACTGGTTTTCTCAACTCTGTTAATCTCACAGCTGGTGACTTTTGTGGAGAAGAGCTTCTTACATGGGCTTTGGATCCCAACTCTTCCTCCATTCTTCCTACCTCAACCAGAACTGCACGAGCCGTAACAGATGTTGAAGCTTTTGCCCTGATGGCTGATGATCTGAAGTCTGTGGCTTCACAGTTCCGGCGTCTTCAGAGCAAGCAACTCCAGCACACCTTCAGGCAAGTATTAGATTTTTGTCCTCCAAGTGTCTGGAGCGTGTCAGTGTCAGACATGCTACCTTCTTAGAAGTGCCCGTGCTTCTTAATTGTTACTAATTGCACTAATGGGGCCAATAACATTACTATTGTTCTCACTACAATTTCAGGTTCTACTCACAGCAGTGGAGGACATGGGGAGCGTGTTTTATACAAGCAACATGGCGGCGACACTCTAATAGGAAGATTGAAAAGTCCTTGCGCGAGGAAGAAGATAGGCTCAAGAATGCTTGGGCAAATGAGGTTGGAGCCTCACCAAGCCTCGGTGCCACCTTTTATGCATCAAAGTTTGCTGCCAATGTTCTACGAGCCCTACATCGCAATCAACCACAAAATACCAAATTGTCTCCCAGGTTGTCACCCAGGTTACCACCCTTACTGCTCCAGAAGCCATCGGAGCCTGATTTTACTACCCAAGATCATTAAAAAAGGTGTAATTTTTCTTTTGTAATGAAAATGGTAGTTACTTAAATATTTCATGATTTGTACCCAACTATAGTCTATAATCATCTATAAATTTTGAGGAAGAAGTTGAGATGCCCATTAGGAGAGAATTAAGGGGGCATGTTTGGTACTGTTTTCGTTTTCTGTTCTGGAAAATAGAAAATGGAAACTGACAAATATTAGATAGTTGAATGACAATAACTTCTGTTTGATTAGTAAAACCAATTGCAGAGCGTAAAGGAACAGAGTATAGCTTACTTTTTATATCATGGATTTAAAATTCTTAACATGTGTGGGGAAAAAACTTTTACAGCAAAGAAAAAGATGTAAAAAAATAAAGAAGAAAAAAAGAGAGGCAATATTTAATAACTCATCTGGAAAGTGAAAAAGCATGCATACTCTATACATCTCCATAAAAAAATAAAAATAAAAAAAATAAAAAAAAGGTTTCAAACCCGGAACAAGTGAAAAATAAGCCATAAAAAATAAGCAATAAATGACATTTGTTATTGAAGACTTAAAATATCCCAGACAAGTAATATGAAGGTACAAGATCCAATCGAATCCTTATATCTATTTACAATTTAGTATATTGCTTCAAATATTGTTTTACAAAAAAATCTAAAAACACAGAAACCGGTCCACTTCTGTGATTAGTTTCTGTGCATATAGAACAACTATTGTTTCAAGGGTTTTTAGAGTTCGAGTCGGGCGTTATGTTTCAAGTACAAAGAGCCTGCTGCAGCCGGAACTTCATGATCAGAGACTGTCGATGACGGAAGAGGCTGGAAAGTTGTATTCCCAACAAACCAGTACAGAGTCCGCTTTAAATTCCAGAGAGTGTACTTGAGAGCTTTAGTCCAATTCTCCAGCTTGTTGAAGCTCTGTGTAATAGAGTAGTTTTCCACTCTGTCATTCTCAATCCTGCAAAAGTTAACCCTAAACTTTTACATACCATCACATATGTTACGTAGACTCAAATATAAACATGATTATTAGAATTTTACGATTCATATGATTCTATAAGAGTATAAAACCAAGTTATATGGTATCATTACATAAATATGATTCAGTATGGACTATGGAGTATTTGATTTTCTAAAAGATATAGATCATAGCTATATATATACATGCAAAGCTATTAATTGAATTTTCAAAGAACACAAGGGACTTACTTATAAGGCAGCTTGAAACATTTCTCAGGCGGGATGTTGCTTTCTTTATCCTTGGAATTTGCAAACTCTGCAAACTCCTTAAGACAAGTCAAGAACAATGCCATTGCTTTGTCGTAGCGAGTGCTCCAGAACAAGTTCACCGGACCAAACCTAAGAAAAACCCACATCAGTTATAAAATCTAATCATCTACAAGAGCAAAAGCAATGAGCAATGATCAGTTCTAATCATCTACAAGAGCAATGAGTTGGCTTTGAGTTCCTATTCTAGTTGTTCTATTTCTCCTATAGTACTAGCAGAACCAGAAATAACGAATAATGAAACAATTCATATATTGACATTTCGTGCTCATTTCAAAATTTCTGCTTTTATTCCTGTCATCCGGTAACCACAGGATGATCCACAAGAAAGGTGTCAGGATTTGAACCTAAGGCATTAGTACCCAGTGCATGGTGCATTTGGTTCACACTCCTTGATTGTTTCCATAAGTACTTTCTCAAATGGCCTACCTAGATGATTGTAAGTCAATTATATAAAGCCTTAAGCGCAACTACTTGGGCATCGATCCTGCTATGTACTTACAAGTCGTAAGTAATGTTGTTGCTGTCCATTACTCGAGGATAACTCCCCATGGGAAGAATCTTTATCCGATATCTGATTACCGATAATCTAAGGATAAAAACACACGATTTTGTAAAGAAGACTTCAACAGTTAGAATCATGTGGGTCATTGGCTTCAGATCAATGAGTCTTTTATGGGTTCTATTTGACTCACAGAAGAAACAACAAAAGGTTTTTCTTAAAACATCATTTGAAAAAAGAAAAGGACGGAATTTCTTTCTTCCACAAGTTTTTGTTTATTAACTTCACAAGTACAAAACAATAAAGCAGATTGATTTCTACAAGAAACACAATAGAGATGCATGTATTCCAATAAAAAGGATACGAGAATTTTGGCCGAAAATACTGAGCCATTGTATGGAGAAGAAGGCAAGCTTGGCCCCAAGCAGCATTTATCTCGTCCCACTCGACCTAAAGCATTTCCAAAACATGGGAAACATTGTAATCAAAGTACTGCTGCAAAGATGAAGGAAGGTATAAAAAAAATAAAATCAAAATTATGAAGGGGAAACATCAAATAAGTTGTAGTTTGAAAAACTAATTACAAATCGGTGACAAACTTTATAAATATTAATAATTAAAATTATAAAAAAAGTCATGAATCTGCAATTAGTTTTTGAAAAGCCACTGAATTGTAATTTCCCCAATTATGAATAGAGGTGTAGGATAAGAAGCCATCTTTCTATCATGTCAAGAATGGCATCAACTGCCATTTGTTTCGACAAATAAACCCTCAAAACTATAAGCTCATAGAACATCACCGCAGGACATTACGTCCTCCTATTAAAGGACATTACATTTTGCACATAGTTTTCATACCGGAATATTAGGAAGTCTTCCCAATCGAAAGTTGTTAATTGTTCCAAATTCACCATCATACCAGATGGGGAAGGCATCATTAAGCACATTGGTTCGCTTCAACAACTCTAAATGTGCTTGTGAAACTTCAATCTTGGCCAATACTGAATCCCTCTCTTCCTGTTGGACAGAAAATCCTAGTTTAAACTTTAAAATATATGTTTTGAAAAGGGGAACATGGTTTTCAATTCCAATTATAACTAAAAAAGTCAATAAGATAGCCAAAATGGTTGACAGATGAGAATGAGACACCGAGCTGGAGTTGCCATATCAAGGCATAATCCAGTTGGCAATCATACATATTTCATGCACAACATGGAAATGATCCTTCTCCAACAGAAATTTTGCTGAAACATTAATATCAATTCACACCATCATTCATTCTACCACACCCCCAATCTGAAATATCCCCTTCTTTTGCTTGGCAGGAAATTGGGAACAAGTTCACTTAAGCTGTGTTTGGATCAAAGAGAGAGTGACCGGAGCAAGGAGAGTAGGCAAATTATAGATCCAAATAGAGCCGAAAGGAAACTAATTGCCTCACCAGAGGATTTGCTTGAACCAATTCAAAGATAAGTAACTGTAGTGGCCCAAAACATGCAGAAATTATTTATACCTGACAAAACTTCGAACTCCAGAATAAATCTCAATGCATGCAATGATTGGAAGAAAATGACACTCAGAGAAAAGGATTAACAGCAACACACCTGATGTAAAATTAACTGAAACTGAAAATTGTTGAACTTATGCCAATACCTGATACACAAGAAAATAGCATGTTTCAAAATGAAAGGGCTTTACAAACAAAGTCATGGGTCATTTTAATACTTCATCAGAAACCATTAAAATAGACAGATTTAGTTTAGTGAATAATTTCGTGTTAAGAAATTTACCGCTCCTCCAACTCTTTGAAGCGGCTAGATTTTAACTCCAATTCTTTCAATTCGGCAGTCACTTTCTCACACTGTTTTTCTGTCTCTTCAATTGCTGCTTCGAGTTTCCGCTCTTTTTCTTCAATCTTAAAAAAGAATCCACAGATGAAAATATAAACATAGTGAATCCAAAAGCAAAACTTTCTGCCTGAGATTTTAACTAATACCAAGAATAAACATTAATACAAGTGTGATCACTCCAAGACGAACGCATCTAGGGCTCATTAATTCCAATTCTTTAATAAATTAAAGGTGACTGATAGATACATAAAGGGGAATATTGTTGGGGATCGGGGATCCCGCCCAAGACTTTCCAAAAATTATACCAAGCAGAAAAATACACCCACACTCAAGGAGACACCATATTTAACGTGGTTCGGCCTCAATGCCTACGTCCGCGGGAGAGTAGCCGGTTATCACTATAACAATTGAGAGATTATAGAAAAATTACAATAGAGGAGGAACTCACACTCTCCTCACTCACCCACTCATCCATCTCCCTCTCTCACACCGAGAGAGACGGTCTCTCCGCCTCACATCTCTCACTCTCTTTGGTTGCTCTTTCTCTCTCTCTCCCCCCTCTCTCATCCTTTCCATTTATACGCATAATGGTAGGAGAGAGAGTCTTCCATGTGAGCTGGCTGCCAGCCCTTTTCTTCTCCTTTCAGTGGCCGTCCATTACGGCTTGTCGGTTGGCACATGCTACAGCACATGGAGAAGTGAATCACCCCTCACATGGGGTGATATCTAACAAATATTTAGCATCGATAAAATTCTGGACTTCCTATGTAAGGCGGTAGCCATTGTAGAAATAATTGGCCAACAAAGGCTTCTAAATGAAGGTTGAAAGTGCTTCGAGAAGCATTAATTTTGCAATACTTTAAGCCCTGCTGAACAAATTTTTTTTTTTTTTTTAATTTCCTTTTCCATAGTATTGGGGGAAAATAGGAAAATAAAATAATTGTGAAATTTGCACTCAACAAAAAGAAAATACAAAACATAGATGAACAAATGATTACCCCGAAATTGGTCTCCATGACCAAAAGAAAAACTACAATGGTGATAGTTACTAATGAATTATACTTTGTATGCCTTGTACTAGTAGTGATCCAAAAAGATTGCTCAATTCACTACTCTAAGACAGCAGGTTGCCTATGCACCTATTAATTTTATGAAAAAACAAAAGCAAAACCCACAATATCATTTTATTTATCAACAACGAAAAAACAAAAACAAAAAATACCCACAAAATAGTTCATCTTCAATTTTATTTATTTGACTAAAAAAAATCTATATGTAAAAAGCAGAGTGATTTAAGCATGGGAACTGGTTATGGAAGAGTTCACCTTTAGTTTCTCCTTGAGAAAATGAGCCTCACTAACAACATTTCGTGTTTCACCCTCCAAGCGTTGAAGGCAGGCTTCATAAGCTTTGATGTCCCTGTTCACATCTTCAACCTCCTTATCAAGTTTATCGGATAATACCCTCATGCACTCTAGGCATAAAGGTTGCTCAACCTAAAACGGAAAAAGAAACAACAGACCATGTAATTTGAAAATTTTGAAAAACCAAAACAAGGTGAATATAACTCCTATTGAAGCTCGTATAGAGCCAAGAAAACGATAATCGTTATGTATACCTGCATCTGGGTCGTGGCAATATCAAATACACGTTTGAGGACAGTTATGGTCGAGTGAAACTCAGAATTGTTTGGCTGCATAGGAGCACCCGTTCCACCCTCTTGTGATGGAAAATGGGTTCCACCTCCATCACTCTTGTACACAGATGCAGCAGGGAGAGGCAACACGACAAATGACTCTTCCAATGCCTTCCCCGACTGGCTTGCATCAGTCTGCACCCCTCCACCACGGGGACAAGGAGGTACCCCCAGTGCCTTATTTCTTTGCTTTGGCAATACAACAAATGAATGGTCCATATGTGTTGACCCCAACACACTGCCAGCACCGTGGACCGAAGAGCCCTGCATTCCAGCAATTGAAGTCCCAATTTGGAATTGAAGTGTAATTAACATATAATTTCCCTTGATATCATGATCATATTGCAATAACTAGCAGCCGGTGCGTTTCTAATTTTTTGGGTTGTTTGCTGAATGAGAAATATGAGTTGGTTTTGAAAACTGATTAGCAGTTATTAACTGAATGTGACATGTTTATTCTTTCAATTAGCAATTCTAAAGGCATTTTTAAAAATCAAAATTGTGTGACAAATATTGAAAAAACCGTAGTCCTATAAAACTTCATATACATTAGACATGTGCTAATGAGACACGAACATTGTTAACATATAATACTATATATGATAGTATATGAATATAATTGTTAAATACTATATATGATAGTATGTATAGATAGTTGTTAATATAATATGTTACCACTTATAGCATGTATATAATATAGAAAGATAGCTTTCGGTTGCTTTCGGTACCCACCATCTTTCGGCGTCCTTTTTCTTATTTTATTAAATTACATCATTATGATGTTTTGTATCCGAGCTCCTATATTATGGAGTCTCTATTTTGTTTCTGATATAGAGTTAATATAACAGAATTCTCTTTCAATATTACTCTCTCAACTCTCTCAATTTCTCTTTCATGGTATCAGAGCACAGGTGTTTTTCCTAAGTCTCTGCATCACATATTTTGTTCCTGACAGATTGCTGCGTACCTCGTCCTTACCTAATACACAGATTGGACCATACCACCACCTTCGTCTCTTCACGACGAAGCCAACGCCACCAGATTCATCATCATCTACGGCTGCACGTGCCTCCACGCGCCGCCAGAACATTCGGCCACGCGCTCACTCGGTTCAGACGCGCTCTACGCGCTTCCTACACTGTCCGGTGCTATTGTGCGCCCCGGCACCATCCGCTAACGTGAGCCGCGTGTTTCTGACGTCAGCCGACGTCAGCCCTAGCTGCTTCCGTGCGCCGTGTGTCTCTCGCCTGCTAACATGCGCCGCGCCACTCTCTGCTAACGTGCGCTGCGCCTGTGACGTCAGCCCTGCATCATCCTGTTTGACCAGCTTCGTTGACTAATCCATTTTCTGCCTTTCTGGTCATATTTTTGGTCAGTTCACTCCTTTTCTGACTAATTTCGACCTTCTGAATTCACTGGTAACCTCATTTTTTTCAGATTCTACCTCATTTGTGCTATTTTTCTCTCATGGATCGCCTAGACTCCACTACCCACCCTATTTCCGCTATTCTTGACGGGACTAATTATGTCCTATGGGCACAAGCTATGTCTGGCTTTCTCAAAGGAAAGAAACTTTGGCGCATCATTACTGGAGATGTGTGCAAACCCGTTCCAGGGACCACAGATTCCGCTGCCACGGACTCCGCTGCCAAATATATGGACCGACTGGAAGATTGGGATAGTAAAAACTATCAGATCATCACTTGGTTTCGCAATACTTCTATTATCTTGGGTGATTCTCTTATTTCTTGGCGCAGCAAGAAACAATCTCTTACTGCTCGCTCCAGTACCGAGGCTGAATATCGTGCTCTTGCTGATACTACTCAAGAACTTCTCTGGCTTCGTTGGCTTCTCACTGACATGGGTGTTTCCCCCTCTGGTGCTACTGCCCTCTTTTGTGACAATCAAAGTGCTCTTCAAATTGCTCACAATGATGTTTTTCATGATCGCACCAAACACATTGAGATTGACTGTCATTTTATTCGTCAACACGTCACTCATGGTACTGTCCATCTCCATCCAATCTCCTCTACTGATCAACCTGCTGATATCTTCACCAAAGCCCATTCTCCTGGTCGCTTCGTTGAACTTGTCTCCAAACTCAAGTTGGTTGATGTTTGTCCTGCTTGAGTTTGCGGGGGGCTGTTAACATATGCATATAATACTATATATGATAGTATATGAATATAATTGTTAAATACTATATATGATAGTATGTATAGATAGTTGTTAATATAATATGTTACCACTTATAGCATGTATATAATATAGAAAGATAGCTTTCGGTTGCTTTCGGTCGCCCACCATCTTTCGGCGTCCTTTTTCTTATTTTATTAAATTACATCATCATGATGTTTTGTATCCGAGCTCCTATATTATGGAGTCTCTATTTTGTTTCTGATATAGAGTTAATATAACAGAATTCTCTTTCAATATTACTCTCTCAACTCTCTCAATTTCTCTTTCAAACATAATTGAAATTTTCCAATGCGGTGATAAACTTATGAGTAGAAACCCAGCTTATTCATAAACTCAAGCACATATTTCAGTAGCTCATCTAAGCAATAAATCTCAAAATTGTCTCAAAATACAGACTCAAACTGAAGGCTATAAAATCAATACAAATTACCATACCATTATACACATAAATTATAATACAAACGCGCATACATATATAAGTATAATCGGAAATTCCATGAACACGTTGAGTTAAAATGATCGAATTCATTCAGCTATCCAAACTTGATTGAACATCCATCTGAGCAAAATTATAATTCTGGCCAAATAGCCAATTTCAAAACTCACTCTCCTCCAGCAATAAATAAATTCATAAATTTTCCATTTTTCATGTTTAATAACCCGATTTTACAACAACCCAATTGGTTTCATATGATTTCAAGATTAGTTGTAACCCTTATTTCACCAAATGGTCAGTTTTGCACCAATCAAATATTAACTCGGACCATACACAACCATTTCATACATACTGTTACTATCACGAAACAAATACGATTTCATATCGAAAAATAGAACAGCTAAAGAAATCAATATTTACGAATCAATTAACAATTCGAATCAGAACCCAAAAAGAGAGAGAACAGAGAGAGAGAGACCGGAGCGAGGAGAGAAGTCGTTGAAGAACTTGTCGGAGTAAGAATCGACGCCGGCGATGCAGAGGTTGTGGCGACAGTTGTGGCAGACCCATCTCGGGAGGTTCGGGTCAACCCGTAATGGCTGACCCTTATCAGCTATATTATTGCTGGTCTCCATCAACTTGTCTCGATTCCAAATGAAAGTTTGATATCTATCGCGTATATATATATATATAGAGAGAGAGAGAGAGAGAGAGTAGTTTCAGTGTTTCAGTGCTGTAAGGTACAGTGACGTTGCATTTTTCTCAGTAAAATTGTTTCTCTCTCATTTATCTGTTTTTAATTAAAGGGAGAGGATAATTTTTTTTCTTTTTTCAACCCGTTTGTTGGACGAAAAATATTTTGTGTGGGTAGTTTTAGTTTTTTAAATTTAATTTTTTAATAATTGAGTTTTATTTTTTTCATATTTTTTTTAGTAAATATTTTTAAAATTTTAAGTATTTTTTTATTTTTTTAATGTACCTTACTTAAATATATCTAAATAATAAAATATTTGTGAAAAAATATTTTTAAAAATTAATAAATATATAAAAATATGAAAAATATATTGTTTTCATTTTTTTTGGTATTTAGTGTATTTTTTAAATATATTTATGTTAAGTGTGTCTAAAAATTAAAAAGAATTGCTCAAAATATTTAAAAAAATCATTAAAAACATTAAAATATAAATAATAAAAAGGTAGAATTTTTTAAAAATGAGAACCAAACAAGCTAGCATTCATATATTTGGTGGTAGTGGTAGTGATGGTAGAACAAAAATGGAGGTGGAGGTAGTGGGGCGATGGCGATGGCGACTGCGATGGTGGTAATGATTGTAGCGATGGTGGTGTGATAATAGAGATGAGAGTGTTGATAATAGTGTGGTGATATTAGTAAAATTTTAATTCAAAATTCGTTTGTTAAAAGTTAAAAATATTTGTTATCTATGAAAAATATTTTTCGTTGGCTTTTATTTTTCATTATACTAAATATCAAAAAATACAAAAAATATTTTTCAAAAAATATTTTCCATCCAAATATTTTCTTTTTACACATTTTATTATCATTTTTTTTCATAATTTACAAAATGAATTGTTAATACTAGCATTGCTAATTTTAACATTCACCCAAAATATTGTTTTCTTGTGCTTGAAACCAATACTTGTAGCCTCCGTTTGGGAAGTGGGTTGGCTTTTTGGCTTTTTGGCTTTTTTGGCTATTTTAGCCTGGGCTAAAAAGCTTGGTTTGGGAAGGACTTTTTGGCTTTTTGGCTTTTTGACTTTTTTTTGTGAGAGAAGAGTGTAATGATTATGGGTTGGATGTGATGTTTTGTTTGTTGTGGCTAAAATAGCCTGTTTTGTCTTTTGTGGCTATTTTAGCCCCAACCCACTTGCCAAACACCATTTAAAATTTGATGAGCAACTATAAATTTGTTTTTTTTCAATAAATAATTCTACGACTATCATCGTCTATTATATTTTATCTAGCATTTTTACATGACAAACACATACGCCATGTTTTGTTTGATTTTCATATACTTATTTCAAAAAAAAATTCTAAGAAGTTAAATTAATTTTGTAAAAAAAAAATTAAAAATAAATCAAAAGCACTTATCATTTTTGTATAATTTTAAATATCTCTAAAGATACAATAATTTTAAAAAATTAAAAAATATATTTTTTATATTTATTTTTATCAAACTAGTTTATATTATTATCATTTTTTTTCATAATTTACAAAATGAATTGTTAATACTAGCATTGCTAATTTTAACATTCACCCAAAATATTGTTTTCTTGTGCTTGAAACCAATACTTGTAATTCACTAAAATTTGATGAGCTATTATAAGCCACCGTTTGGAAAGTGGGTTGACTTTTTGATTTTAGCCTGGGCTTAAAAGCTTGGTTTGAGAAGGACTTTTTGGCTTTTTAACTTTTTTGAGGTTTTTTGTAAGAGAAGAATGTAATGATTATGGGTTAGATGTGGTGTTTTGTTTATTATAGCTAAAATAGCCTATTTTGTTTTTTGTGGCTAAAATAACCAAAAAAAACCTGCAAACCCACTTGCCAAACACAGGAAATTTGTTTTTTTCAAAAAATAATTCTACGACTATCATCGTCTATTATATTTTATCTAGCTTTTTTACATGACAAACACATACGCCATGTTTTGTTTGATTTTCATATACTTATTTCAAAAAAAAATTCTAAGAAGTTAAATTAATTTTGTAAAAAAAAAATTAAAAATAAATCAAAAGCACTTATCATTTTTGTATAATTTTAAATATCTCTAAAGATACAATAATTTTAAAAAATTAAAAAATATATTTTTTATATTTATTTTTATCAAACTAGTTTATATTGTTTAAAAAAAAACAGACAATGAAACTAAAAATTACCATATTAATTAAGAAATTGTTTGGGATGTGTTATATAAGTTCATTTTTTTACTTTTTGGCTAAAAAAGTAAAGAAAAAATAGATATATGTTTGAGATAACTTTTTGAATTTTTACAAAAAGGTGTGTAATGAAATATTGTAGTAAAATCAAAATAACCATTCTACCCTTATTGATTTTTTGACTTCTAACTTTTTGACTTTTGGGTAGTTGAATTCAAATAGCAAAATAATAATTTTGTCCTTTAAGCTTCCCCCACAAACTTCTCCCAAATAGTATGAACTTTTTATTTTTTTAATAACTTTTTAATTTTTTAACTTTTTTAAGTTATTCCAAACCAAGCCAATAATAAGTCTAAAAGGATTTTGACTGATGTGTTTGAGATAAATTTTGTAAAATATTTGAAATCACAAAAACATTCTTACAATATGACTTATAGATGGTGTTTGGGAAGTGAGTTTTTATGTAGATTTTATTAGATGTAGGTTTTTATGAGATAAAAAATTTTTGGTGTTTGGGAAGATAGTTGGGTTTTTATGTGGTTGGATGTGATGTTTGTGAGAGAAAAGTGAAATGATTATGGAGTTAGATGTGATATTTTGCTTGGATGTGTTTTTTTTTTGGTTTTGCAAAACTTTTGTCTTTTAGTGAAAAAAATGAGTCAACTTTTAAATTGTTATACACAAAAAATTTAAAGCTTATCATTTTGTCGCATCACCATGAATATAAAATTATGAACCTTTGACATATTTCATAAGTTTTAGAGACAAACATAAGATTTTATTTGCAATTATAGAGTTTTATTCTATTTCAAGGTTTTTTTATATTCACATTTCAATATGAAAAAAATTGAGAGAGTTGTAGAGGTTATCACAAGTGTAACAATCCTCACTTTGTCTTAGTCATGCTCACATACATTTGCATGATCTTTGTCTTGATTAAACTTGCATCTGCAGATCTTGATTTGTTTTATCTAAGTGTTGCTTGCGTGCTTTGTTCCTTGCTTATTGTGTGTAAGCCGAGGTCATCTTAAGCCGAGGTCATCTTAAGCCTAGGTCACACCTTTGAACCTCTTACACCTAGGACCATCTTGAAACCACTTTGATTGACCTCCACCTTCACCCTGACATATTGGCTGAGATGTGCATCATCTAGGCCGAGATGTTATCATCTAGGCATCCGACATCCTTGATCCTTGCACCTAGTGATCTTGTTCTTGGACTGGTATGACCTAGACCGAGGTGTGGCACATCTAAGCCGAGGTGTGGCACAGCTAGGCCAAGTGTTATCCTTCCTAGCCAAGATCATTGAGACCTTACTTGCCGAAGCCCATGTCTTGATCCGAGGTCGTTGCCTTGTCAGAGTGCCCTTGTCACCTTGCTTGTTGTACACACTTTGTCGTGCTCTTGTCTTGTCAGTCAGTCACCTTTTTTAGGAGAGCCAACCAGTAGTTGCCACGTGCCCTAGCAAAGGGTCAAGTCAGCTTGTAGAGTGAGAAAACATATCATTTTGTCATATCTTTGTCTTTGAAGAGAGAGAGAAGCTATAGGAAGAGGAATATGAGTTTTGAGAGAGAAGTAGATTTCCAAGCTCGATCTTTAGAGTCTAAATCGTTTGATCCGAGTTTTGAGGTCAGATTCTTGATTTGCTCTTGTTGTCCTTTATGTTTATTCAATCACATTGTATGATGTAGCATGATTCGTAAGCCATGCATTGATTTAAAGTTTAGTTTTAGAAAGAGAAAATGATGTTCTTATGTTCTTAAAAAAAAACCATGTTTTGATCCGAAAATTTGTATAAAGGTCCATGTTTTTGTATTTGTTTTCATAAGATCTTCAAGCATGGGTACCCAGTCCATCTTTTCCAACTCATCTCATGAAATCTCAGATTTTGAATAGAGAAGTTATGATTTTAGCATTCATGTCTCTCATGTTCTTCATGTCCTTCAAGGTAGGAATGGCAATGGGGTGGATATTAATTCTCCATCCCCATTCCCCTATAATAAATTTTCCCCATTCCCTATTCCCCATGGGTACCACCCTCCCCATTTTTTAATGGGTATAGATTTTTTCCAACCCACTTTAATCCCCATTTTTATTTTTTATATTTAATGTTAACAACCACTTTTTTTTTTTTTAAAGTTCACAACAAAAACTAAATATATCTTCAATCTTTTTTCTTTCTTTTTTAATATATTTAATGTTAACATTTTTTTTTTTAAGATTCACAACAAAAGTTAAATATACCTTCAATCTTTTTTCTTTCTTTTTTAATATATTTAATGTTAACAACCTTATTTTTTTTCTTTTTTTTTTTATAAAGGTTTTAGCTAAATATACCTTCTTTTTTTTCTTTCTTTTTTAATATATTTAATGTTAACAACTTATTTTTTTATTTATTTTTTATTTTTTTAAGGTTCACAACAAAAGCTAAATATACATTCAATCTTATTTTATTTTATTTGGTTCAACAACAAAATCAAATACACATTAATTAATTAATTAAAAAGTTTGTTTTATAATAATCAAATATATAATTTTGAGACAATCAAATAAGTTTTAGTAATTGAAAAAAAAATGTGGAAGAATGTGGAAGATTAAAAAAAAATTACAACCATCTCTCTCTCTCTCTCACTCTCACTCTCACTCCCTCCCCTACATGTTATAAGAACCTGATTACAATGTTATAAGAGCCTGTTTGAAGAAATAAAATGTGAAAGAACCTGTTTGAAGAAAGTGTTATAAGACTCATATTAAATTGCATCAGGGCATAAACAATGAATTGT